AGCAGTCTAGGCACACACGCTGGTTTCTCCACGAGCTGTTTGACCTAGGTCATGTCAATTAGTTTTTCTGAGTTTTGATCTCTTTGCTAATAAAATGGAGAAAGCCTGCCCTGCCTATCACAGGTGGCTAAGATGCTACAGAGTAATGTGTGAGGGACCATTGTCTTAGTCTCTTATTTTGGGAAAACAAATATCTGGGGCTGTATTCACACAGAAAGGACATTTATTTACTTCATAGTTTTAGAGGTCGGAAGACTACGATTAGGTGGGTCTGTCTGTTTGACCTCTGGTTAGAGCCCTCAGATCATATCACAACATGGTAGAAACACATATGACAGAGAGGGAGGTCACATGGCAAGGTGAGAAACCAGGATCCGGGAAAGGGGCCAGACCAGCTATTTTATAATAACCCATTGTCTCAGGAAGTAATCCATGGGATTCACCCTCTCTCCTTCAAAGGAGCATTACATCATTTGTGATGGAGGAATACCATTACCTACCTACCTTCTACTGGACCTCATTTCTTAATGGCTCTTTCATTTCAATACCACTGAGGACCAAACTCGCAACACACCAGTCTTTATGGTTACGATGAAAACCATTCCTAATTCAATACTATAACTTTATATGTGTGACCACCTCGTTGAATTCTCATATCAAGTCAGTGAAATTGCAATATTGAATTCATTTCACTGAGATGCACCCCCAAATTAAATGGTTTGTTCAACCATTAAACAACAGAACTAGCCTTTGAACCTAAACGTTTTCTTTTTAAAAGAATCTTATTTTGTTTATGTTTATATATGTGCATGTGTGTGCCGTTGTTCATGGCAGATATCCTAGGAATGAGGTACAGGCAATTGTGAGCCTCCTAATGTGGACTGTGGGTGGTGGGAACGGAACTCACGTCCTCTGAAAGGGGAGTGTTTCTTCCTAATGAACTCTCTCAGTCCCTGAACACAAGCGCTTCACTTCTATGTCCTGAGCAGTTGTCCCATTATGCTCAAAATCAGTTAATGACTGTGTGCAGAGAGGAAGAGGAGTTGAGCCAAGGTGAAACTGTTCCTTCTGCAGTTTTTTCCCGACTGTTAGTTAATGTAGTATTTCCCTGACATTATTCTCTGTGCCCTTCTTTGGCTTCAATTAGGCACACAGTCCTGTTTCCCAAAGGCAAACAACCTTCAGGCCTCCTCTCTACCCAGTGAACAAAAGCCTGTCATGGGTCTCTCAGGCTTTTGTGTGTGTCCGACTAAGCAAGGGTAGACGGCTTCATCAGGTTGAGACACCAGTCCTCAGTTAAGTATTTGTTGACAACTACAGAGATGAAGACTGGACTAAGCTGCAAACACCTGCTTCCCAAACAGCCAAGCTATGCTCTTTTCTTTGTGTTACGGTCTTTCTGTGCTAATGAGTTTGTTAATGTGGTTTAATTAGTGTTTACTGAAAAATAGCTGCACACAGATTAGTCTTGTGAGAGACTTAGCCAAAATGTTGAGGCAATTTGTTCCTTGTATAAAGGCGCTACTAAGTGAGAAGTACTCTGTAAAGGTTGGAAAAGGACATTAAGTTGGTTTTGAAGAAATAGAACTTTGTTTCTACAGGAAAATAAATGATTTATTTAAATAGGTAGATTGAAATATTAAAATAGCAATCCCCTCCTAACTCAGGTACTGGATGATTTTCATATAACAAAACTGGATAGTGGCAATCTGATTGGAAGCCATGGCATCCACCAAGAGGGGAGGTCTATGGAGATCCTGAAAGAACTTGAAATCACTTGTAAATTTCATTAAGTGTTTTGGCTCTCTTCAAATCTATGCATTATGTATCAACTTTTGTTTCTGAATTCTGGCCTCAGGCAAATTGCCAATGTCACAACCAAATGAGGGTTTTAAAATTCTCATAAACCACTCCCTCTTCATTTGGGAGGATTTTCACTTCCAGAAGAGGGAAGTGAACGTTATTGGATTGTTATTCAATCTGGGCTTCATCTGTAAGTTAATTTTTCTCTGTATAAATGTAGGGACCTCTGGATGAGGTCTCCTTGCAGCTGTTGTAGGTTGAAGGAGCATCCTCTTCAACCTACCCCTTAGAGGTTGCCTGTATGTGAGCTGAGTCGGGTTCCCACCTCAATGCAGAACTCAGATTCTAGAAAGGAGTGAGATAGGGTGAGCCACAGCTCGATGCGGGGGTTGGGGGGGCTAGGCTCCGGTGTTCTGCAAAGTAGGGGGTATCATTAAAGTATTGTGTTTCCAAATAGCTAGGAAGGAAGATGAATGCCCTCATCACAATGACATGGTGAGTGTTTGCGAGGCTGAATATGCGTATGCCCAATTTAATCATCACACTAGGCATGTCTCTATAAAAACTTCACATTGGAAGCCACATATGTTCAATTTTATGTACCAGTTACAAGTACCTAAAGTCAAAACTAACCAATCAGGTGATTGATAACGATCCCTATTTCCTGATCTATGGATTTTACAAACGAAATTTGAGCCCTGTGAGCCACACAAATGCTGCCCGGTAGGAATGTCGTGAATGAGGGCCTCAGATACAGTTTGGTATCAGAGGCCCTGAGACCAAGGTGTAACTCCAAGCACCTGGTGCTTTCCAGCATGATGAATAGCACCAGAAAGCCAGCCTGCTTCCGGAAGACTAGTCTTCCAAGTCTAGCATCTGTGTCTATCTAGTAATTAATCATCCTTCTGATTACCCATGATGCTTTTCCTACTTGTTCTTTAGTTTTGTTTTTTTGTTTGTTTGTTTGCCTTTAGTTCACAGTGTGTTTTGTGATGGACCTTGGAGAGGCAAAGCCTAACAGCCATTAAGATCTGCCTGCAGTGTAGACAGCAGCAGGAGAAACATATACAAATGACAAGTATCCCAAAACAAAAAATCAGAGTCAGGATTAAAATTGGGCTGTGTTGTCCTTCAGGTAGTCTGCAGTGAAAGGGCAGAGCTGCTTCTGTGTGAAGGGGTATATACAGACTACAAGTCCTACTGAGCACTAACTGTCACCCAAGCTGGCTTATGGGTATATTTTTGGAGAATTGTCTTGATTGCTAATTGATATAGAAGGCCTTACACCACTGTGGGCAGCACCATTCTCTAAGATGGTTTGAGCCTTCAAGAAAGCCAACAAGTAGCAGTCTGTCACGGTCCCTGCTTCAAGTTCCTGCTTATGTTCCTTCCCTGGCTTCCCTCAGTGGAGGAGTGTGGCCTGCAAGCTGAAACAAACCCTTCTTCCACTAAGTTGATTTTTGTTAGAGAATTTTATCATTCACAGAAAGGAAACTAGAACACTACACAACGGTCCGAAAGCTCGTGACTAAAGTCAGGCATTACCCCCTCTAAGCAATGTCCTGTGATGGCGCCTCTGCCCCTTTCTAGCCTCCCCCAGAGTGTTCCTCCTCCATGTACCACCGCACTGTACCCACTCTTCTGACTCCATGGGTCCCCTCACTGCCACCACCACCCCCTGTGTACCTATGGCTGAATGTCCTAAGGGAAAGGTCACATCTCACTCTTGGCATCCACATCTCCAGAAGTCTGAGAAAGGCTGAATGAACACTAAATGGATATGTGAGTGGAAGCCAGTATTGACAGAGACACCTCCACCCCCATGGAAGGCGCTTTCTCCCCCACACCGTGCCAAGAACGAGTAACACAGGAGTGTATCCTTCTACTTTACTAATGGAAACATGGTGCTAGGGAGACAGCTCAGCAGTTAAGCCCTTGCTGTATACCCATGAGGTTCCCAGCTCAGATCCAAGCACCACGCAATCAGTGGACATTCAGTACAGATCTGTAACCTTATCTCTGGGAGAGGCGGAGACAGGAGGATTGCTGGAACTTGCTTGCTGGTTTCCAGCCTAGCCTAAAAAAACCTGCCCCCACCCTTTCTTAAAGAAATAGGTGAAGGGTAGCAGCAAAGACCATGTGATACCCTCATTTGGCCTCTGCATATTCAAACATACACATAAGTGAATAAACCTTTTTCTATGAAAAAATATTTAAAAAATACAAACACTCCTTAATGTACAGTGGAGATAAATCCTGCTAAACTCACGCATGTGAGACTGTGATTTGTGTTGAAAATGCATCAAATGCATCTCACCTGCCCAGCATCCCGGCCTCCCGGGCCACTGTAGGGCAAAGCTCTCTGCTGTAGGTCAGGGCTCCACAGAAGATCCCACCAGGGAATATGGAGGATGTGAGCAATTGGCAATATTAACTCCAGGTCTGGAGAGGTGGCTCAGGGCTTAAGAGTACTTGCTGCTCTTCCAGAGGACCCCAGTTCAGTTCCCTGGACCCTCCTGTCTGCTCACAACTATCCATAATTCCACTTCCAGGGGATCCCTCTTCTAAGCTCAGACACTGACCCCAGGAGGGTGAAATCGTACACATTATGCAGACTAAACTCTCCAGCACGTAAACAAGTCAATCTAAAAATAGTTTTCAGTTAACTCAAAATCAAACACATAGTGAATCTGAGATGTTCCTGGTGGAGCTTGCTTGAGTTGCATCCCGGGACTTCACCGTGGCATCGGCTCCGGAGGCGCAATGTGTGCACTTTGCACCACATACACACATGCTGACACACACACACACACACATGCTGACACACACACACACACATGCTGACACACACACACACACATGCTGACACACACACACATGCTGACACACACACACACATGCTGACACACACACACACACATGCTGACACACACACACACACACATGCTGACACACACACACACACACATGCTGACACACACACACACACACATGCTGACACACACACACACACACAAACATGCTGACACACACACACACACACACACACACACACATGCTGACACACACACACACACACACTGACACACACACACACATGCTGCCTCACCGCACACAGTCTTGCCAAGGAACAGTACCTGATACTCACGTAGGACAGCTCTACAAACTATGATGTGTATTTTCTTTTCTCCCTGCAGTTGAATTTTTGTGGCCAGAATGGGGAAGCAGAACAGCAAGCTGCGCCCTGAAGTCATGCAGGACTTACTGGAAAGCACGGACTTCACGGAGCATGAGATCCAGGAGTGGTACAAAGGCTTCTTGAGAGACTGCCCCAGTGGACACTTATCAATGGAAGAGTTTAAGAAAATATATGGGAACTTTTTCCCTTATGGGGATGCTTCCAAATTTGCAGAGCATGTCTTTCGTACCTTTGATGCAAATGGAGACGGGACAATAGACTTTAGAGAGTTCATCATAGCCCTGAGTGTGACCTCGAGGGGCAAGCTGGAACAGAAGCTGAAGTGGGCCTTCAGCATGTACGACCTGGACGGTAACGGCTACATCAGCAAGGCAGAAATGCTGGAGATCGTGCAGGTAGGGGCCCTGGCATGTTAGAGAGAGAAGCATGTGTCACCAGAAAGACCCAAGAGGCGCCGGGAAAATTGGGACTGAGTGTGTAATCTGGTGTGTTACTGAGGCAGTTAACTTCTTGAAAAGTTTGAATTTGCATGCACAAAAACGGCATAAAAATCTCCACTGGTCAGAATTTCCTGCAAACTCCGGAGCTGCAGCTCTGCTGCCTGCACATGCTCTCCTGTCAGCGGTCACCTGGGCTTTGGGGTGGCTCCCGCACTGCAGAGACAGGGCTCTCCCTGGTGGCCATCCTTGTTATAGTCTTCCCATTGGTCAATATAACAACCTGCTCAGTCAGAATTTGCGGTCATGTCTTCTGAAGTTGTGTGAGTAACAAAGCCCTGGCTTGGGTCCCCACCTGCATTTTTCAGGGACCACCTCTGTGGCTTTGATCAGCAGTCAACGCAAGCAGTGTCTTCACCTGTGAAGTGGGACTGCCTGTCATGGGGTTGTTTAGACTTACCTCCCCATGTGAAATGCTGTCTTAGTTACCGTTCTGTTGTGAAGAGATACTGTGACCGAGACAATTCTCATAAAAGAAAGCATTTAATTGGGGGCTTGCTTACAGTTTTGGAAGGTTAGTCTGTGATCATCAAAGTAGGAAGCAAGCAGACAGGCATGGCGCTAGAGCAGTAGCTGAGAGCTTTGCATCCTGATCCATAGGCATCAGGGAGAGAGAGACTGGACCTGGTGTGGGCTTTTGTACCCTCAGAGTCCAACAAGACCACACCTCTTAAACCTTTCTAAACAGTTCCACTGTGGACCAAGATTTCAAACATATGAACCTATGGGTGCCATTCTCATTCGAACCACCACAAATGCCCAGGACCAACCACATAGTCAAGATCACTGTTCTTAATTTACAGCTTTGTAGGGTCTGGACTCTTTATCCCATCCAGGATGCAAATACAGAGAGCTTCTTCATTTTACTAAGAAACACTGAGCTTGGCCTCCCCAAACCACTCAGTTTGAGTAAATTCACTGAAGCAAACAGGAGAAGGTGGTGCTGGTAGACTCGTGGTTATGGCAGCTTGCTGAGCAGTGGGTGGGGCCTGGGGACAAAGCTAAGGGGAGTCACTGAGGGCTCAGGAGAGACTTGGAGACTTCTGCTGCCGCCATTACTAAGAACTAGGTGATGACAGAGCCCACGGGAGCTGGCTGCCATTCACTTCTAGGTAGGTGAGGGAAGCTCGGTAGAGAACCACGTGGTGGAGGTGGGTCAAGGGCGTGGGTTTTGGATTCTTGGAGGGCTCAGCTCAGAGGTCACATTCATTGCAGGGCTTCTGTGCAAATGTCCTGTTGAGATAGAGCTGCTGCCCTGGGAAAATGGTAGCGTTGGGTAGGAAGGGATGGAACAGGGAGATGAAAGAAGTCAGCTGCTGTAGGAATGGGATTAGGATAGAGGATGGCTAGCTTGCGGAGAACGTTGGGGACATGACAACAGAAACTGGACAGAGCTGAAAAGACTACAGTAGAGCTGTGACTGAACAGTAGTCATGTTCAGGTGGAGCCTGCATGGGCAGTTACAGCACAAACGTTAGGAAGATGCAAGATGAGGGTTTCTGGTGACACGGCCTCACCCAGGAATCTCTCTCCAAGCACTTCTCTCTTCTGAATGGCCACCAGTGGCTCTCCTTCCACCAGAGGGTGACAGGCCATACCAAAATAACCACTCAGTGATAGAGATCCTAAGCATTTCCCTCCTCTGCAGAGGGAGACAGCTAATGTAAAAGATGGACAGATAAAGGGGTGGGCTTGAGAGATCGTTTAGTGGCTAAGACCACGACTGCTCTTCCAGAAGACCGGGGTTCAATTCCCAATATGGTGGTTCCCAACAGTTTGTCACCCCAGTCTCAGAAGATACACTGTCCTCCTCTAGCGTCCACAGGTACTGCAAGCACAGGACATACATGCAACCAAAGCACCCATATTGTACAATAAAGCAGAATAGTAAGGGAAAAGTATTCATTATTCCATCCTACCCTCAATTTTTTTTTATTTTTAAAATTTTTTAAAAAATTTTTTGTGGGTAGGACAGTTTCTTAAATGATATATTTCTTGATATTTTTAATATGATGATTTTTAAATGATATATTTCCTGGTCCTCTTACCATGCATTAAAAATATTCAATTAATTCTGTAAAGTGTATGTTATTTTCTACCTTGACATTTTCATCTTGCAGAGTAACACAAGTATTTCTGTGTTTATAATGATGTCTTATAAAATATTTAATAAAATGCATAATAATCCTACAGTATATTAAAATTACTTAATTTCTACTGTTGGATATTTAGGTTACCTCCAGTTTTCATTATAAATGATTTATCCTTTAAAAATAAAATAAATCTGCCAGGTACAGTGGTGCATACCTGTGATCATTTCAGGCCAGTCTGATCTACAAAGTGAGTCCAGGACAGCCAAGGCTACACAGAGAAATCATGTCTTTAAAAAAAAAAAAAAAAAAAAAAAGTCAATCTTTCTATATAAAGTTTTTCTCTATAAAGTTTTTCTCTGCATTCTTAGGATAGAATCCCAAAAGCTGGGTCAATATTTCTAAGATCTCTTGATACATCTTATCAAAGTAGTTTTTCTAATGCCCCCACAAGCAGAGGTAGGACAACTACTTATCATTTCACATCTTAGATTTTCCTTATTTTTTGATAGTTAAACAAAAATTAAAATTCCAAAGTTTGATTTCTGTAACTATAATGAGTGCCTGAAACAATCGACTTACAAGGAGGTTTGTTTTGACTTATAGTTTTGTAGATTTTGTCTGCTCTGTGAGTCTGGGCCTGTGGCAAAACATTACATCAGGGTCCTGGAGTGTGAAGCAGAGAAAAACCATTCACCTCATGGCCAGCAAGCAGTGAAAGAGAAAAAGACTGAGGTGCCACAGTCTCCTTTGAGGACTCACTCCGATTAGCTGAAGATGAGCCCAGCAGGCCCCCTCTTAGAGAGTCTACCACCTCTAAGCAGTGCCACAGCTCAGGGCCAAACCTCCAGACGCAGGGCTTCGGGAACACTTAACATTCAGTTGTAGCTCTCATCCTCAGTAGGCTTTTTTGCTATTATGTGTTGTTTTACTGTTTGGTACTGGGAACAGAACCAGGGGCTTCATGAGTACTAGGCAAACTCCCACACACCCCAGCGTGGACTTTGCTGCATTCCAGGCCTTTCTATCTCAGAGCGCTGGAAGAGTGGAAAGGGCTATTCTCATTTTGGACAAAACTTCTTCCTGACTGGAATCTGAAACAGAAATGCCCAAGAGCCATGGTATTATCTCCTAATGTTTTGCTTTTTGTTTTGGTTTGGTTTTTGCCCAATTTTCCTTGTGGCTTTTGCAGCTGTTGTTGATGAACCTGTAGAAAGCAAGACTGTAAAGAACGTGAGCTTACGAGAATGGAGACGCAGCTATGCACCCACCAGCTATCCATAGCTCAGCAAAGGCCCTGGCAAGGGGAACAGTGTTCAGGAAGGTCACATTGCCCCGTGCTTTGGAATGTGGCTTGGAAGAGCAGGTAGGAGAACGCAGGGACATGCAGAACACGACAGCAGACCCCAGACCCTGAAGAGTCTTCCACCATGTTCAAGCCTGGTGAGAAACATGAAGGTGTGCTCAACCTGGTGGAGGCCTGCCCCTCGCTGTAAAGGGCCCCGGGCCACTCCCAGGCCCTCATAAGTGTCCAGACCTGAACTTCAGACATGCCTGTGTAAGGCTGAGGTTCTTAAGAAGCCTGTCAATAGAAGACTCAAGTTCCTCAACCATTGGACACCCCCATGCCTTTGATGGTTAATACTCATGGCTGCGAACACCACAAGCACCTGAAGTGACTTTAGATCATCGGAGAGATTAAATGAAATCTCACACCATTTTCACACCCAGGGCTATATTGCAAGCCGACAGTCCACACCGTCCATCACATTCTTAGGCTGATCCCTCTCATCAGTTATTTGGGATGAACTGGAATTCAGTGTAGGACCTCACTGAGCTCCACGGTCTGGTTTTGTTTTTGTTTCTGTTTTTTTGTTTTTTAATCTTTTATTCCTTCCCTTTTTGAAAGCCTACGCTCTCTAAGCCCTGTCACAGGAAGCCATTTGTGGGGATATTCTTGTCTTTGTCCTAGCTGGTCTGCACCACTTAGGAAAACATTGATTTACTTCAAAGCAGTCACTGTCTGTTGAGTGTCTGTGGTGAGCTGGGCAAACAGCTGTTCGGAAGCAGGGAGGTGGGGCCAGCTATGCTAGGGAGCACCATAAACGGACTAGGGGTCTCATTGCCGAAGGAACACTTGTAGCTTAATAACAACCTCTGAAAGCAACTTCCTAGCTGAATCACCATCCCTTCAAGACTCAGCAATTCAAGCCATTTAATGGGGAATGAAGGGAGGAAAATTTATGATCATTTACCTACAAATGCTGACAGGGTCAGGGTGTAGACCAGGATGAAAGTGAGTCTTTAATTAGGCTTTGCATGGAGATGGAGGGACGTACGCTGTTCAGAAATCATCCCTTTGTTGTACTTAGATCTTTCCCTCGACTTAGTTTTGGAATAGCATTCGTGACAAAAAGGCTAGAATTCATTTCCTGATATTGGTATGAAAGACTAGAATTTACCACACTACTATGAATTCTGTGCTGAAGCCAGCTGAATTAGTCTTTATGGCTGCTACAGCAAGGAGCCCCAAAGCTCATGGCTTACAAGCCCACAAATATATTATCTTATAGTTCTGAAAGTCTGACCTCAGTTTCACTGGACTAAAATTAAAGTGCGCTTATGGTTGTGTCCCCTTCTGGAGCTATTTGGAGAAAAGATTTCTCATCTGCCCCAGTTCTTCGAAGAAGTTTACATTCCCAGGCCTGCTCATTCACCTTCAAAGCCAGCTGCACAGATGCTGGCTCCCTGGGACTGCAACCCTGATCTTCTCTTCCGTTCATGCATGCATTCGTGCAGTTATGAATG